TTAGCAATGACATGTAACGCCTAATCTCTTCCAGCTCATCATAATGTATGTGACTGGTCTCAAATTAAATAGTAACAGTAAAATCAGATGCAGTGTTACAATTTGTCAGAATGACTCATTTATAACTGTCCTATTGTTTGGCTGACAAGAGACATGGTATTAGTCTTATTATCGTGACACGTTCCACCTAATCGCTTCCACTCTTTACTTTAAAATATGGTAACCATCAAACATTGGACAGTACTTCCGGTTTGAAATGCCAGTTAGTCATAACAAGAGTAAAAGAGTTGGTCAACAAGCCGGTGATTAATTGACCTATCAGAATTCTTTTACTACCAGAGTGCAGAGTTCACATTAATCATAGCTTATCAGGGAAATTAATAAATAAAACATATAAAAAGTGAAATTCTTATTTAGAACCCAGTTCCTGCACAAATGATGAATCCTTTGGTTAAAATTTTTTTTTTAGATATTCTCAAACACTTAAGCGTAGCACACATTATACAATTAATTTGACAGTCATTCTTATGTATAAACTAATTAAATAAAACAAATAACATAATTATTCATTGTTCCAGTGATATTATTTATTAGCAACTGCACAGGAATCTTCGGACACAGTCTGTAGTTCACACGGCCTCGGTTTATTTCCTCATCTAAATGATATATTTTTACCATGTAAACTATGAAAAATATCCAAAGATATCCAAACATAATAAGGGAAAGTCTCTCAGAGTGATGTTTGGTATTGATATCATTAAGAACGCCCAGGATTGATTTACACGAAGCTCAGGGGTAAAAAATTCTTTAGATAATTAATAAAAATGATTTAAGATTTGAGTTTTTCAACAACTAACAATTATTTACCATATTTAACCCCCATTGTGTATATCATATCACACAATATTTAAACATTAAGGACGCCATAATTTCTCAAAAGAATTTTCATGATAGAAATATATCACCATAGTAAATTGAAATGGGTAACAAGAGGGGATATTTTTACGAAGCAATTTAAGACTAGCATTTTAAGGAGGGGAATTTTCGATACAATAACAGATTTGGAAATGCAATGCACAACACGAAACACACGACAAGGAAATATGAAAGACAATTTTTTTCATTATGAACACTTGCATTTTTTTTTTACCAAATAATACCAAATCAAATGTGTTATAAAAATGTAAATTATGACCTAAAGCTAAAGTTTAAGATATTAATGGTATATTGGTATACGAGGAATTGGTAGGAGTGTAATTGTATAAGGTGTAGAAGTATCAGATTGACTGTGGTTATATCTTTACCAATTCTCCTGATAGTTTAACGACATTCCTTCTAACATCTCTCAACTATCTTGGTATGATATCCACGTTCTCCACAATCCTCTAGATACAAGATACTCCTCTACTTTCTATAATATAAATACCATCTTATCAACCTTTCGATAGTCTTTACCAAAATCTTCATGAAATTGCCAACTTTAAAGGGGCAGTCTGATCTTTAAGTAGTTTGGAAAAGTTATGCGCTCAAATTAATGTAAACTATACACCAACATCTAGAGAAAAGTGTCCCTAACATTATCTGAGAGTGTTAATTAAAAGTATCTCGTACCGAGACTGTGTAAATGGTTTACGTTAACACTTATAATCGTTAAGTTTTGTGGTTGGTGTTGGAAAACTTATGTACGGATTTAAGCGAAATAATCGCCAAATTGTAAAAAAATATGTCTCCTGCTTAATCTGAAAGTTTTTACTAAAAATATCAAGCTGCTATAAGGTCAAACACCAAACCTAGTTGAAGCTGCTTAATTAACAATCAGTAAACTCCATTTAAATCAAATTCGTTGTGATCAACATACAAGTATATAGCATATTTAAGAAATATTTTCAGGTATAATTCACAACATTTTTAATAGATAAAATTTTGCATACTACTCCTTTAATATTCACCACTTGTGCAAATGTGGCCTTTTTTTGAAAAAAAAATTACTTTAAGCATTTTCAGAATCCTTGATATCAATTTTCATTTTGTTCATAAAAACAAGTTGCAAGCTGTGACAAAACGAGCTTTATCAAGGTGTCAAAATCTTCTCTTAGATTGTGAACTGTACATGAAGCACGTAGCATCTTCACAGCTTCACAGTATGCAGAACATTAGAGTCTTGGGAAAGTTATAGCATGATACATAGTACAATGTACAGTAGTACTTATTCCGCTGGCTGCAGACGGACCAGTTGCATTGCCATAAACCACAATATATCATATTATTTTTAACATTGTATAAAACTTGGGAGTTTGGTTTCTGTATCAAAATTGAACAATCTATATACAATATGTAAAGTTGCTTTTTAATCGACAAATAATGAGTTTGTAGATTATTTTTCACAGCTTTACAATCTGGTAAAGAAAGTAGCAGGCTAGTTAAATGATTTCACCAATCATGAATTGGGTTGGTCCAACATTTGTGCCATGCTTTAAGGAAACAAGCAAGATAATTTTAATGAATTTAACAGTGTTATGCAACTTAGAGCATATTTTATTTATTTTTTATATTGGTATGCAGTGAACAGATTTACTGAGTTGCCTGACATCTGCTGTTGGCGTTTGAATACTTTACCAGATCACCCACATTAAATATTACTTTTAAAAACATTTTCGCAAATTTAAAATCAATTTCGTAAGTTAATGTTTCAGTCTTTATAAATTTTATTACTTTTTCTTTATTAAATGACCTTCACACGATTATGTTCAAACTATATTATCGGGTCGCAAGATATAAATGGAAGATAATCTTTATTTTCAAAATAAAATGGGAGTATAATATATGGTTTCTCATTAATGTCAATAGAGAGAGCAATCATTGTTTTATGAACTTCATTTGTTTTGTATAGAAATTTTTAACCCGCTTTGAAATTTGTATACAAAATAAATGAAGTTCATAAAAGAATGAAAAACCAAGAATGGCTTTACACTGTTGACAAAAATTTATATATCTTCCAAAGCAAAGACTTGAATTATTAATAACTTGTTATTGCGAAGATGGTGCATACTACTTCTTTATGATTTGAAAAGGTATAAAAATGAAGCAGAAAGGTCAGCATTGTTTGAGATATTTTCAAATTCTGTCAACTAAACTTGTAATCCTAAATGAAGATTGTGAATAATACGAAGGAAAAGACAATACAAAAATACACGTTGATCTATCACGCTTCAAGGCATCTACTTCCTTCTTTGATGTGTGGAATACAGGAAAGATCTAAACAGAGTCGGCTATAGGGAGTTTCAGGTTTCCTCTGCTAGCCAGAAGTGTTGTTTCTGTAAACATGACTTTTCTAGGGGAAGTAACTCTCTTGCTACAGGTGTAGGCATATATCCGGCTAACGGGAACATCTTGAGCCAAGGAAATATTCGACTTATGATAACAAACAGAATGGTATGCTAAACATATCGACATTGATATAAACTGATTCTATTTCTTCATATTTCTATTCTGACTTTGATGTAGTATTTAATTTAGGCACTGATTTCACGAAGATGTTAAATGTGTTACTGTAACACCATCTCACGAAGTCTTCGTGATGATTATTTTTACCACAAAGAATTTCAAGCCTAAGTTTAAATATTATGCATCACGAAAATAGAAAGAAAGAGAATGACAAAGAAGCCCACGAAGTAACTACATCAAAACATTTTTATTGAATGAAATTGCTGATAAAGAAAATACTGGACTAGATTCGCACCTTCAGTAACCTTCCTTTAAATGACGTTAGGCGTTATTGATGTCTGCTTTATCACACCTTGCATGGTAGATCAAGTCCAATTGCAAGGTCCCTATATATAGTGTAACAAATTTCAAAGATTTGAGTGTTAATATTTTTTTCTTATAAATTTAGGTATATTTTGAATAATGTACCCTTTTCAAAGTCATACGTAAATTCAATACTCGTAAATATCGTGGTTTGCATCTTCACAATGCAAGGCTTTTACGAACATTGATATCACATGACACTTTTCTTGTTTGATAGTAGCACGAAACTTTAAATATACAGTTTATTTCCCTTGTGAGAGTTGAATAATTAGTCAATCAAATACCGTGATCAAAATTATTTCGCTTGCAGTTACACGCGTCGCTATGTTGTTTTCTTTCGAGAGCTCTGATTTTCTGTATTCTCTATAGAACAATCAAATATTTGCATTTTACTAACCGCCATGATACAAGAAAAGTGCCCAATGATGTTCGTTATTATTTGACCTTGTGAAGATGGGTTGTTCGGTGAGAGGGTTGAATTCATGACAGATCTGTCTCAAATACCACTCCACTAGTATTGTGGGGGGTCTAGATAATAGGAAATATATAATGAAGAACTTTATGTATTCACATGACCTAAAGGTTTTTTCGTCGAAGAGGTGGATCGAACCTTTACCAATAGGTCCAGAGAATCAAGAAACTCATCCAGATCAAGTTTGTCTATAAAGAGTACAAACGTCTTCGGATGGCATACAAATGTCTAAATAATTTGGTTCCAAAATATTTATCGGATCTCTTAACTCTAGATATTAATCCGTATCGTACAAGATCTTCCACGTGTCTTAATCTTCATGTACCTACAACAAAACCCTGTAAATCTGTTGACACTTTTAAGAGAAGACACATCTTTTTTTAGAAGAACCTTTACCTAAAACAACTTTGTGTGTATGTATATAGACATTGACTATAATCTAGAAATATTTGTGTTTGTAAAGTGCCATTGAATGCTCATGTTAGAGCACTAATGAGCGCCATACTAAGTTCATTAATCATAATCTTACTCATTAAAACAATGAGAAATTGCATATTACCACAAAAATCCCCCCTCTTTAGAGCCGCCACTTTTCAGGGACACTTTTGGTCACTAGGGCAAAATTGATATCTACTCAGTATATATAACATAATAGTGATAATATTATATTGATGGATATCAAGTTATATCAAAAAGTACATTTTTTCTCTTCTGTAAAACATCATCGTTTAAACATAACTTTCTCTAGAGCTAAGAAGGGTGCTTCAACTACTACCGAGATAATAAAACTAGCAGCATAAGTTATAGCAAATATACCAATATAGTTGTTCATCTGTAAAGTATAACAAACAAATTAAAAAAAAGAAAAAGAAATGTATCCGAAAGAAATCATTCCAAAAGCTTTCCAGGTGCGTTTTAATCTGGAGATAGATTGTATGGTACAACTGAGTATTTATTTAACAATAGGATTTTTGTGAAATTATGGGCTACCAGTGTTGTATGCGCTGAAAATAACACGAACTGTGTTAAAAGCCTTTCTCCCATTGTACACAAATAATCATTTTTTGTAAAATCATTGTTTATATTTGTAGTCAAGAGAGATGGTTATCCTTGTATTTTCTATTTCATTTTCTCTTGTGTTTTTGTTTTGGACAGCTTTCATTTTTTTTCACTTCGCATTAAAACTGCGATGTTGTTTTTTCCACTTTTCAAAATCTGCACCGGAAATTAGCTTATACTAAATAAACACTGAATTTACTAACTATATAAAACCTTGTCAGATATCCATATCCTCTCATATTTCCAAGAAAAACTGTCAAAACTATCAGATGAATTAAATAAGCTGCATATGTTAATCTAGAAAGTGGTATCCAGGCTCCCCATGATAATATTGTATTCACAAAACCTGTAAAGTAAATGAATTATACATATTTTTGTATTTTGTGCATTACACGTCTTCATAATTTACGTTGAATTTTAAGTGATAATTACAATTGAGAATTTTTGCACAAGTCGTTCTTCTGTCATAATTCAACTTTCATCCGTAAATTTAAAAGAAACATAATTCTAAAGACATTAATCAGGAAGTCAGTTCAAGGAAAAGTGACAATCCTTACCGCCATATCCATGTACACAAACAAATACTAGCCAGAACAGTGCTAGGGCCCAGACCGGTCTAAATAATGTTTGGAAGGCGATATTAGATTCAGATTCCCAATGTGTATGATCTCCAATAAACTGATCATATGTTAGATAATTTACTAATAAACCTGCAGTACCTGCTACTAGTGTTCCAACAAACAATACGACCTACAATATATTGATATAACAATATTACTACCTATAATATATTGATATAACAATACTACCTATAATATATTAATATAACAATACTACCTATAATATATTAATATAACAATACTACCTATAATATATTAATATAACAATACTACCTATAATGTATTAATATAACAATACTACCAATAATATATTAATATAACAATACTACCTATAATATATTAATATAACAACACTACCTATAATAATATTAATATAACAATACTAACTATAATATATTAATATAACAATACTACCTATAATATATTAATATAACAATACTACCTATAATATATTAATATAACAATACTACCTATAATATATTAATATAACAATACTACCTATAATAATATTAATATAACAATACTACCTACAATATATTAATATAAAAATACTACTTATAATATATTAATATAACAATACGACCTATAATATATTAATATAACAATACTATCTATAATATATTAATATAACTATACTACCTATAATATATTAATATAACAATACTACCTATAATATATTAATATAACAATACTATCTAGAGTATATTAATATAACAATACTACCTATAATATATTAATATCAAAATACTACCTATAATATATTAATATAACAATACTAACTATAATATATTAATATAACAATACTACCTATAATATATTAATATAACAATACTAACTATAATATATTAATATAACAATACTACCTATAATAAATTAATATAACAATACTACATATAATACATTAATATAACAATACTACCTATAATATATTAATATAACCATACCACCTATAATATATTAATATAACAATACTATCTAGAGTATATTAATATAACAATACTACCTATAATATATTAATATCAAATTACTACCTATAATATATTAATATAACAATACTACTTATATTATATAATATATTAATATAATAATACTACCTATAATATATTAATATAACAATACTACCTATAATATATTAATATAACAATACTAACTATAATATATTAATATAACAATACTACCTATAATACATTAATATAAAAATACTACATATAATACATTAATATAACAATACTACCTATAATATATTAATATAACCATACTACCTATAATATATTAATATAACAATACTACCTATAATATATTAATAGAACAATACTACCTATAATATATTAATAGAACAATACTACCTATAATATATTAATAGAACAATACTACCTATAATATATTAATATAACAATACTAATTATAATATATTAATATAACAATACTACCTATAATATATTAATATAACAATACTATATATTAATATAACAATACTACCTATAATATATTAATAGAACAATACTACCTATAATATATTAATATAACAATACTAATTATAATATATTAATATAACAATACTACCTATAATATATTAATATAACAATACTAACTTTAATATATTAATATAACAATACTAACTATAATACATTAATATAACAATACTACCTATAATACATTAATATAACAATACTACATATAATACATTAATATAACAATACTACCTATAATATATTAATATAAATCGCAAATTCAACCTCATTACATAACCATTCCTCGACACTTGAAAAAGGATAATATTTCGAAAACCGGTTCGTGTCAATTGCGTAAGTTTTTGTTTTACTTGTTATAATTTTTCACAACATTGTTAGCGTTATTTATCACCTAAATATATATTTTTGCATTTTTCATCATAACTTTCATCTTACTTTATATCTCCCCAAACCCAGTTTGACTTATTTGCATAATTTGATCCCCACATTTTCACGCTAGCATATACAGTTTCCTCCTGTTACATCCGCTGTACATTCCCTTTCTAACCTCAAGTTATTTTCATTATGCTCCCCAACTACAACAACCACTGGCAAGAAGCCAGACATAGAAACACTAATCGTCAACCAAACCAATATCACGTAACCTACAACGGCCCTGTCTTCCATCGACCTCTACCACCTACCAATCGCCGACCACCAACCAACCCATCCAGCTATATCCCACCCCATCGCCGACCTACCCACAACACCTACCAATCAAGAGGTAACCATCGTCCTGACCTTCCAAGTTTTGCAGTGCCTCCATCATTTGGCAATCCTTACCCTTCAGCAGCAAGGCCAACCAGCGTTTACCTTCAAACGCAAAGCCTCTGAGTTGGATAGTTTTATCCGTCCAGCAATGGAAACATCAGCTGTTGACGCGAATATTATGTTACCCACAGACACCAAGATATAGGTCAAAGAGACATATATAATTCACACTTGACAACAAAATATACTTTATTCAACAAAATTGAGTACCCGCCGAGCGGAAACGGGTATCGGTACAGTAGATAAGGATACTAACACCTAGTATCTTTCATTCAAAATCTCCCTAATCTCCTCTTACTATGTAAGCCTCTCTACTTACATAGGGAACCGTTCCTTCAGACTTCTGTGTTCTGGAGTCTCAGTGTATCTGTGAATACATTTTGAGTGCCCCATAAACCGACTTGCCTGGTACTCTTATGAGTTAAAATAATACATAAAAAATACGAACCCAAGCCCTACCCTATTAAAATGCATATCACATGAAAGCTAATGACTTGTAGCATATTGTGAACATATAATAAAATGGAAATAAATACGACCCATGCTTGGCCCACTTATCTAAAGGTGAATTTCAACATGATTATCTCCCTTTAGTGAAAAATACAGTAAAACTGAGTATAAGGGAACCTAGCTGAATTAAACATTAAAATATAACAAAATAAGATAAAAATGAAATAAAAGGACAAATTGACCAAGACCAACCAATCCTGGAAATCGGAGTAGGTAATTAACAAATGAAAAATGGTCACAATTAGATCCCCCAATCGGACATGGCTCTCTAAGGTTACGCAGGTCTTGATCGACCATTACCAAACCACACTTCAAGAGAAGCTGACCACCATTCGTACCAAGTCTTTACCATCACCTGCCGTCGACCGCATCGTTTCTCATGCCCTGTCCTGGGCCCGTCGCTCCTATGGGAAACGTCTCACTCAAGCTGTAATCACCAAGTTCTACCAAACAATCAACGAAACAAAAACCAGAGTAACCATATCTCTACCAACTGAAATGGACACTACACCTGCACCGTCTAGAGCCACGACGCTGCCGAACCAAACCCCTAAACGAGCCCCAAGTTCACCTACTCCTAGTCCAGCAGACATAGGTAAACGCTCTCGTAGAGAGGGCACTCCCTTCTCTTTTCACTTTCAGACTCGTATTATCACCAAACCAAGGACAAATCATTATGGAAGCTACCCGCTCTAAAGAAATCTACCTTAATTATTGGATCATCTAACCTGAATCGAATTACCAAAACCAGTTCAGACACTGAAATACATTCTTACCCCAGTGCCCAAATCCATCACATACAGTCAATCCTGGAATCATACGACCATGATCCCAAACCTACTACCATTATTCTTCATGTAGGCCTCAACAACCGTGATCAGCTACCAATCCTTTAACCAATCCCAGAAATTAATCGCCACAGCCAACAAAACCTTCCCAAACTCCAAGATCCTCTTCACATGTATACCCATTTCAAATAAAATCTGGAAGAAAGCACAACAGAACCTCAGCACTCTCAACAACATGATGATGGAGTCCAGTATCAACAGCGCAACAATCTTGCCACCCTACGAAGAAGAATTCGAACCAGTTGATAATCTTCATTGGTCTCCAGAAACAGCAAACAGCATTTATTTGTTTTGGATACACCAGCTTCAAGCATCGAGTAAGTCTTTAAACTAATTACTGGGGATAAAAATACTGAGAGGCCACCGCTAGGCCAAACTGTAGTTAACTTGAGCCGCAAAATTCTCACACCGCTTGAGCATCCAATCTTAGACCGTGGACTTAAATTTATTCCCACACCAAAGATAGCTAACTTGAATTATCTCCGACCATCCATTGAACGATTTCAACGAAATCTTAGCACCCCCCACGTGGTGCTAGAACAATGTTTATTCCTAAATCCACGTGGACACCCCCTCAGGCCGCCATCCATCCTGAAATATTGAAAGCATTTGTGATTATGAATAGCCAAACTGTGAACCTTTCCATAACACACGAAAAGCCTAATCTCACACGAGTGGAACGTGAAGCGTTAAACTTACTTAAGAAAGACGATAGCATAGTTATTAAAAAGAGTGACAAAGGTTCATGTTGTGTCATTCTGAATAGGGAGGATTACGTTTCAGAAGCAGAGAATCAACTGAATAATCCTAAACATTATGCCATTTTACCGAAACCAATTTTCAAAGAAACTGCTAACATGATTAACAATATTCTTGCCGATTTAGTCAAAACTAGTTATCTCAAACAGAAACAATATGACTATCTGTCTGCCAAACCTGACTGTCGCGAGAGACATTTGTACACTTTGCCTAAAATCCATAAAAATCCAACCAAGTTGTGGTTTATCTCGAATAAAATCCCTAAAGGCCGCCCGATTATATCTGACTGTGGTAGTGAGTCATATGCAGTGTCAGAATACATTGATCATTTCTTACTACCTCTAGCATGTCAACATCGCGCCTACCTTAAAGACACAACCGATTTTGTCAATAAAATGAAAAATCTTCGAGTTCCCTCTAATGCTATTTTAATTTCTATCGACGTTTCTTCTATGTATACCAATATCGATAACACTACTGGTTTAACGGCAGTTCGTAAAGCTTTTAATAGAAACCCAGATCCAAACAGACCCGACGATGCAATTCTACAGCTTTTAGAGATTTGTCTTAGTCGAAACGATTTCACATTTAATGGTAAAACATATTTACAAACTTCAGGGACAGCAATGGGCAAACGATTCGCCCCTTCGTACGCAAACCTTTTCATGGCAGAGTGGGAACGTGAGGTGTTGCCCCTCTGTCCATTTGACCCACTTTTTTACGGACGCTTTTTGGATGACATTTTTATGGTTTGGACTTATTCTATCCAACAGTTTTGGAAATTCTTTGAAATTCTCAACAACCACCATCCTTCTATCAAACTAACCGCAAACGTGAGTGACAAAAGCATAGACTTTCTCGATACCACAGTCTTTAAGGGAGATTCGATAGCAGAAACAAATAAACTGGATATTAAAAGTGTATTTCAAAGAAACTGATACTCATCAACTCTTGCACAAGAGCTCCTTTCACCCAAAATATACCTTTTCTGGTATAATTAAGTCACAAGTTTTACGATTTCATCGAATTTGTACAAGATCTTCTTATTTCAACCAAGCCTGTACGATTGTTTTCTCAAAACTGAAAGAGCGTGGGTACTCTAAACGATTTTTACGAAACATAAAAAATTCCACCTTAGCACAGATAGCAGACTTTATGCCGAAGTACCTCCAGGTTTAAGAAGTGCTCCATGTTTGTCCAGTAGATGCAAAACATGTCCCTTTATATCAGAAACTCATTATTTTGTAAGCAACGAATAAAAGGTACTCGATCCAGGAACATCTAACATGTGAACATTCGAATGTAATATATTTAATTTCATGCAAGAAATGCCCCAAACAATATGTAGGAGAAACTAAGAATAATTTACAAACTCGCTTTAATGCTCATAGGTCAGACATCAAATTAAAGAAAGACAAGCCTGTTTCTAATCATTTCAACCTCGACGACCATTCAATAGACGATCTCGCCCTAATCCCAATTGAGCGTATAGAAATTGACTTGCCCGAAGATGAAACTACCAAATTCCGTCAATCTAGGGAAGCCCATTGGATTGAGACATTGAATACAGCAAGACCTATAGGACTAAATATTCATCATAATGTAGGCATAGCACCCTTTGTTGTCCCGTTTAATACAACCAGCAATTGAGCAAGCAAGATAGTTCATGCCCACTATAAGAGCCTTCAAGAAAAATTCCCCCATGTCTATAAGCAGAAAATGATAGTTGCATATTCAAAAAATAAGAACTTAAATGATAATATTGTTCATAGTAAACTAAAAACAATTAGTACATAACAGATTATACTATACTTCTCGCCCATTGGGCGAGTTATTTTTTCTAATTTCAGATCAGAATAAGAACAGAAGAAAACCCAATATCAAGACCCTTAATCCTAATTTCTAAATAAAGTGTCTGCTCCATCCTAGGCCTGTACATTTGGGAGAATCAAACCCTCCCTTCCCCGAAATATAATATATTAATATAACAATACTACCTATAATATATTAATAAAACAATTCTACCTATAATATATTAATATAACAATACTACCTATAATATATTAATATTACAATACTACCTATAATATATTAATATAACAATACTACCTATAATATATTAATATAAAAATACTACCTATAATATATTAATATAACAATACTACCTATAATATATTAATATAACAATACTACCTATAATATATTATTATAACAATACTACCTATAATATATTAATATAACAATACTACCTATAATATATTAATATAACAATACTACCTATAATATATTAATATAACCATACTACCTATAATATATTAATATAACAATACTACTTATAATATATTAATATAACAATACTACCTATAATATATTAATACAACAATACTACTAATAATATATTAATGTAACAATACTACTAATAATATATTAATATAACAATACTGCCTATAATATATTAATATAAAAATACTACCTATAATATATTAATATAACAATACTACCTATAATATATTAATATAACAATACTACTAATAATATATTAATGTAACAATACTACTAATAATATATTAATATAACAATACTACCTATAATATATTAATATAAAAATACTACCTATAATATATTAATATAACAATACTACCTATAATATATTAATATAACAATACTACCTATAATATATTAATATAACAATACTATCTAGAGTATATTAATATAACAATAATACTACCTATAATATATTAATATAAAAATACTACCTATAATATATTAATATAACAATACTACCTATAATATATTAATATAACAATACTATCTAGAGTATATTAATATAACAATATTACCTATAATATATTAATATAAAAATACCACCTATAATATATCAATATAACAATACTACTTATATTATATAATATATTAATATAACATAACTAACTACTATAACAATAGATGTATTTTGCAAATAAATCTTCAGTACTAACAATTACAATGCGACGAATATTAGTATCAACACAAAATCATATGCACATGATTTAACTATCAAATTACCATGGAAAAGAATGACGTACCCCAGAAATATGCTGTTTGCCTTTAGTTCTGTTAATAATATAGCCCAATAATAATCCAATGGCATACACCCCTATTCTAGCATATGGTTTTATATAAACTTCTTTAAAGAATTGTGCACCATGTTGTCTGCAAATAAGAAATGAAATAAAATATTTTTGGCATACCCATCGAGGTTATTTTGGTGATCTAGATCTTATTATTAAAATTAATAACATGTCTCAAAAATAACGTTAACTTTATGAACTCAGATCTTTACTTATTGTTTACTTACGTCTCAAGAGTTGGATTTCCGTTATGCCATGCAATATAACCCGTAGATATAATCTGAGAAGCAACCATACACAATATAATCAATAATCCAATAACACGATAGCTGAAAATTAAACGCAAAGATTTTATTAGACTCCTCTCAAAAGCACAAGCAGACGATGACCAGGATTCAGAAATTGCAATGTTGTCTACTGAACTGTATCTTCTAATAATTTGAATAAATCTCATGACATAACAAATGTGATTAAAGGGGACTTTCTGAAAGGCATGGTAGGTGTCATTATGATAAGATGATTAATCTTGAAGATTGAAGATTCCTAGTCAATCAAAAACATTGTGTTTTACACAATCTGCTGTCTTACCCAAGAGCAAGTGGAACAAGGACTAATGGACTGAGTATGTAGAACTGCATATCATTAGCCAGATACCAGCTCCATCCCATGCACTGTAAAATAAGAAATATATCAATGATGCCAGTTTTTGACAAAAATATTGTTAACATGTATGTACATTTTCCATCGTTTGAAGGTTTCAAGAAAAGAAATTTGTGGCACTCTTCAAATCCTTACCATTCTATGGTTTCCAAAGTACAGATTATTTATATACAATAAATTAGTCCACCAAGAACTTTTACAGCTTTCTTCAGTTATTAATAAGGCTTTTAGTCGATTTTCCATAGGCCCCTCAATAAAATACTTCGTTAGGTTTGTATATATCATTATCACTATCATATAGAGCGGCGTTAATCTGAAAACATGTACAGAGAATTAATGTACAGCTATATATCGATGTCTTTAGCAGTATAGAGTGTTCAGAATGCTTTTGTTGGTTGGTAGGGGTTTCAACACTGTCCGTAACATCCAGCGTGAACTGAGTAACACGCTTTCGTAAACATCACCAAAATCTTAAATGAAGGTGGGCAAAAACCTTTGGAGTAAAGTATTCATGATGTTCAGGTTAGTAATCAATTAGCATAATGCGAAACGAAGAAGGAGAAATATGTTTTTCGGTTTACTCTTAAACGGCATGAACATATCATGTACACTACTGCATCGACCGACCAATATGAATGATAAAGATAAATAGCCTCATGCTAAGTAGTTGTGACCAAATACTAAATGTGACTCTGTTATGTAGAGAATATATAATCGACCAAATCCCGATGTAAAAAAATTTCGAATTCAGCAAATTCCATCTTTCTCGTCAACCTGTCACATAACGTTCAGCTAATCCTTACCTCCAGAAACGATGAAAGTAAAATAAACCCATCTGTTTTATGGAGACTTTTCCAATTTTCTGTACTTCTCTTATAAAAAGATATGACACAAGCAGACCACTGAAATATAAGTTAAATAGCCTTTCAAAAATCGACATTCTCTAAAACGTGTGCTTATTCTGAGCTACTGACGAATTTTTTTTTAACATTGAACATATCAAAATATATTTCTTCCTACGAGCGTATTCACATTTTTATAATTAATTGCACGTAACGTGATATTAACCAGTAACCTATAGAGAACGTTTCGAAAACTTAAAGATAACTTATTACTAACGACCGCTATATACCAATTTCCCTAAATGTTCTGTAACACCATATCGATTCGGTCACTGTGTGAAATTGTTGTTAATACTTTTGAAAGAATAACTAACCTTAAGAAAAAGAAGGTATCAACTGAAAGCGAACCATTGGGAATAAATTGAAACCAAAAGGTTTTGGACATGTTCCACAGATCTGTTTTATTTTCTGCAAAGATATAGAATAAGATGAAAAGCCAGAAAGATGGTAAATGATTTTATGACAAAAATGTGTTTAGTAAACGTCGAGAATATAAATTTAAAAAAATATAGCATGATACAGTGAAAATGTTTTTGAGGGTAGAGAATGCCTCCGTTGCTTGATGAAGATACAAACCTAATTGCTCTATTGACATTCTTATTGAATGGCCTAGTATAACCCAAGCCATACTTAATACACGTATACCATTTAAACAACCAAGTGAACCAGGAGGTGTAGAACAGTTTAATAATTTTCTACCATTTTCACGAACAGAAAATGCCAGCAAAACTCTAGATAAATCTGAAAAAGTCATGACATAATAATGTATTTTTTAACGTGAAAATATTCCAATGCATGTCCAATTGCGGTAATAAACCTTTCATATTAGTATTTCATCTTTATTCGTGATGCTATAGTAGTTTCAACACGTACTTGATTTTTGAAGGCTTGGTTTTGACTCTTTTAAGACAACATCCTCAACATGTACGCTAGTAAGTTGTAAACTGTTACTTGGTTGTGAGATACCATTTGATTCTGACATATCATTTCGCTGCCGATGATCAACAGTATTAAAGTTATCAGGTGTTTGTTTCACAATCGCATCTCTCCTTGTAGAAAGTTGTCCATCGTCATTTATAACAGTTCCTGTTCCTGTCCCAGTTTGTTTTCCACTATTTTGATGACAGTTGTCGGCGGCCTTTGTGGAAGTGGTGTATCTATCTTGTATAATATCCCATATTGTACCAATAATACATAACAATACAAAACAACCTAGAATTGCTCTGAAAGGTATCATTCAGGAATGTTTTAAAAATGACAATAAAAAACGCCTGCCATAAATGATTTGCAACCCTCTGTGAATCAGAGCCATAAAACAGTATTTCTGAACTACTTGTACATTTATTTTATCTGATTCGAATCAAGCATGGTAAGGTATAAAATTATAAAAACTTACATAGAAACGTAAGATGCTGTATCACCTTCCAGAGATTTCGGACCAACAAAATCAACAGATGCTATTGAAAAACCCAGAGATCTTAGTTGTGCTGCAACCAAAGAGATATGGGAAGTTTTATCGGGTTTTATCATTTGATCAGTTAATCAGCATATATATATATATATATTATACCAAATGAATACTTACTGGTATGAAACATAGATATGATCTGGTCACTGGAACATGATTTTGGGACACAAAGATCCCATCTGAGATATTCAGATGATTCACCAAATACCTTGAAATTAAAAAATAAAGATTACAATTGGAACCAACTTATATTTTTTGGTTAATTTAAAGTAGTGAATTAGTCAAGTAATCGGAATCTTTGGCGAAACAATTCTAGAAAGCTCCTTTTAGATTCTTCAAACTTTTGTGCTTATGAAAGCTAGTTTTGAGTGGCAATGTATTAAATTTCGGTAAATCATCTTGGCATCATTTAAATATAACGTGATTTTAGAAAACAAGTCGTATACTTACATTAAGCCCAGCACTGAACATTAAAGTAACATCTTTAGGTAATGGCATCTTCATTGTTGCGTAAGCCCCATCTATAACATGTCCAGTATTATCAGGAACTGTATGATGTATTTTTAAACAATCATCATAACTACCAAACCATATATTGTTTCCTTGTAATAAATTTCTAGATGGTTTTCCACTAGCATCTATCACTGAAAAAAATGCAGAAAATTTAGTACTTTCTCCATTGCCTTCAGTAGAATAGTAACTTGTTACTTTGAATCACCTTAATCTGTATCAATTTGGATTTTAATTTTTTCGTACTTACTTTGTAATGCCCACTTGTCAAGTAAGGTAACACCCATCAGTAGTTCCAGACTGTCTTTAGGACATTTATCACCAAGAAATTGACTCGGTATCATATTCAACAAATTAGAAAAAGGTTGAAATATTCCTCTAACGAAACTTATTGAGTCGTCATCATATAATTCATCCGCCACTTGTTGAAGCCATTCGAGATCAATTTTTGCAGTAGTAATATTTGATTGTTCATTCGAAGTTTCTGAGGAAACGTGTCTACCAGTAAAAAAAAGACACAGAACCAATACAAGATGATACCAAGATACCATTTTGAAGTCATGGAAAATAATATATCTCTGTCGCTATCCTTTCCCTTATCAGCTTCACTTCGTGAAATTTGTTGTCGTATAACTAAATATTTCAAAGTTTAGTTTCAAAGATTGCAAAAACTAGACTAATGACGTACAATAAAAGATAAAAGATTCAATATTCCATGGATGTGTATACTAATGTTAAAATGGATTATAACATGATAATATTTATCATACCTCAACACATTATTAAAGGGACAGTTCGCCATGCATTTGACCAATCTTAGTCTCAGAATCGTTTAGCTTAGCTTATCAATAATAATGTTCGGAGCTCACCGTCGGAATTTAAGTCTTCAAATCATGTGCTTCCAGAATTAACTACGTTTGATAGTTAAAATGACGACTCATCTTTTTCTGATTCTCTGCAATGTATAGAAAAGACAAAAATAAAAAGTGAAATTTCTAGAGGTATAGTGCGAATTTCGTGCAGTTCTAGTAATTCTGAAGATTATTTACATATATCCAAGACCAAAATTAGCCCCGAAAATGGTGAACCATGGTCTTTAAGGTAGTTAACAATAAATATAAAAAGTAGACTATTAAAGAGAGATATGTTTATCGTATATTTAACTGGATACGGTTAAGTTTTTAATCTTGGTATTACTCGATAAATTGCCCCAACACTAATATAATGAGAGCTAATGCTAATACACAGGGTGACCACTGACACTAGACTTTAAATAGTCTAGTGTCAGTGGTCATCCTGTTAAATGTTAAAACATTTCTTCAACCCAATCTTGATTGAATTCTGGGTGATCAAAGAGCACTTATCCTCTTTCTCAATTCTGTGGTAAGCAACTGTCCGTTTAGCATTTGTCCGGTCAGCATCTGTCCTACACTAATTTGACCTCCCGCAATCCCTTTGGAAACGCCATTTGTATTCACGATTTAGGTCGAAATTGAAGTCATTTTATCGTTAACCGTGATCCGCTAACCATGTTTGTAATATGTTAATAAACAAACTACCAAGTATATACCAGTTATGTTCGCTTATTGCATGCACCATCACAGACCTGACTAAACTTTTTATTGAGTGAGAAGAAAATTAAACAGCCCGTCGATCATTCCAACAAAGCTTAATATCAGCAGCTTTTTATTAAGAAGCAAAGTAACGACCGTTACTCGTGAACAAGAATTACTATTCAAAATATTCTTTTAAAAACAGTCAGTATTATCTTGATGGTGCGACAGCTGAAGATGAAGCGCCTTCTAGTCAAGTCACACTGACACTTCTGTTAGCGCTTGATACGTACGGGATACGATGATGTCCGTTCATGTCACGCAGTGAACCATGCAAACAACACAACAAATGCGAAAACAAGTAGTGCCATTGTGTATCAGTGTTTGTCAGTACAGTCAATCCTTTGGTAGTGCATTGCATACGACGACGAAAATCGTGTCAGTGTAAGTGTGACATAACCATTCATCTTATCAAGAGCACAAAGACTTTTTAAGTACGTATAAAAAAAATGTTTTGACTATTCGGATAAATAGAATACCGATCATAAAGATTGGTATATCATATTCCAGTTTTATTAAATACGATGCAATAAGTAATCTCTCTAAAACAAGATCATGCGATCATTCTTACTTAATATAAGTAAGTAAGTATAAATATTTATGATCAGAATTATGAAAGTTTTTAATTATAGTTTGCTTAATGCGTCGTCTGTGATATATTTGTTATGATTTCCTGTAGCCTCCCCTCAAAATTCGACTATGTTCCATAATACATGTATATAGTTTTTTTTTATAAATGCTGATTAGATGTTAGATTTGTGAGGTGGTTTGTAGAGATAAATAGCCTGCCAATTATGCAATTATTCTTTTTTGTTATCACGTAGAATGCGTTTCACACACATGATTGAATACTTTTTTTTACAGAGAGCGACAATCAAAGGTATCCGTGTAGTTGAGTAAATGTTAACATGTTTTATGATGAAGGTAATAATTAAAACAAAAAACAATCAAAGAATAATGGTGTATTTTGTCTTTGATGCCACAACTTTGTCTGAAAAAAAGATGGTGGAAAGGTCAAGCGTCAAACCATGATTAATTCCCAATGTTTATCACACATTCTCAAAAATATTAAAATTTCTGCAAAACTCACCAAATTCTTTTACTAATTTATACGTGGAAGCAACCTACGTTTATAAATTTGATACACTTGATACAGATTCTAACATCTAAAATTGCTTGTTCCAATTTTAAAAAATAAACTTCAATATATCATACATAATATACTCTATTATTACAATAAAACTTACTTCCACAATTCTTTAGAGCCTTTAGTTAATGATTCCGCAGACATTAATTTAACATATTTTGAATTTAACATTGTTATTTATCAAAGGCCTTGTATCTATTTTAATATATTCTCTCGGGTATATTACATAGCTAAGATAAAGAAAGGCGGTTTTTAATATAAAATGTCAGCATTGTTTACCTACCAATTTCTCTTTGATTTAAGCGACGACTTAAGAGCTGATTTTGATCAATTTAACGTGTATTTTATATCATGGCGGCCCTATCCCAATGTATCTGGCATTTCCCCTTGCACCACAAGCCCCCATGAGGCGTTTTACAAATGGTCACAGAGTACAAGTTACTCTTTGAAATTGCACTGAATACCTTCAGCCCATTATTATGGTTTAGACCAAAATGGTCTATTGAAACAGTTGTACCAAGAATATTTTACAATTCACCTCGCTTCTCGACCGGAACTTAGGGCGGTAATAATTAGTCGACTTGAATAAGGTAGCATAAACGACAAAATAATCTACCAAGATGTCTTGAAAAAGAAAGAAAAATGCACGAATAAACCCCGAATATTCTGAAACAAACGGTGTTCATGATGTTAGTTAGCTGTTAATAATTTCCCCGGGTCACCGTCTAATGATTTGCAGAGCTATAAACTGACTCACGAATAGACTAGCTATAATATTCAACAATTGATTGTACATTAGAAAGTAGAGAAAAAGACTAGTATTGTATTAAAAGTAGTGCCGACAAGAACCCACATGGAGCTCGTTTAGATAGTGGTTTTATAAATGATGTATTTTAGGCACACTTAGTTTGAATAATGTAGGTAGTTAAAGACCTAAAACTGTGTATTATGATAATATTTTAATATACAACACTGTTTCAGATCTACAGTTTCTGCAAATTGATTACAGTTGGAACATTTCATGAAAACAAGTATAGCAAAACTTATAACCATTCTAATCTTGTCTTTAAAATTACTGTTTCGCTATTCTCCAGGATTTCTTTGATATTTTTTTATGATCACATCTATATAATTATACTAACTTTTATTCTAATTTTATTCGCCTTTCACGTTTTAGTTATATTTACTGATCAATAAAAAAAAAAGTCACCTGTGTACCACGTCAATTGAAATATTTTAGTTTCTAAGACAATATATCACGAGTTGCCCAATGTATTGGTCAAAGTACATTAGCATTTGGTGGTATAATCGTAACAAACATAAAAATGCTTTTATCTGATAAAAATAATCGTTAATACAAAAATAGAATAAGCAATGATAGTTTTGATGTATTCCCTAAAACAGAGTGGTATCAGGTGATCTGGAATTGTGCGTATCAGCTTTTGAACTGATGTATTTGTTATTGGGAGTACGATCTTTTCAGCAAGTTCAAATAATCTCTGATACTTTAAACACAAGAGTAATTTCAAAATGTTTGCATAATAACGTTTTTTTTTTGTTATACGTCACTTTATAAGCGAGATATCCTCTTATTTCAGTATATATTGCCTGTTTTTGATAATACTGCTAGTTAACATTGTAAAAGTCACAATTTTTAGCGTGTTATAATGAAACTAGATGTGTATGTAGAGCCACACAAATAAAACCATGATTAAATGCGAGCATTTTGAAATGATAAGGTCATGAGTTATCTACCTTTATTTTATATCGAATAATGAAATTCTATGTTTTTAAGGCATTTCATGTCTTTATTTTCTGAAGATTATATCTGAAATTGACCAGTTATTCTCAATAGGCACATATTCATATTACGAGATGCTTTCCGAAAATACAAAATTATCTCCCTTTTCCGGAAAAACACACTCACACACAAAATACTGTTATTTTAAACCGATGCAGGGACATTATTCATAAGAAGAGAAATCATGTCTACGGTACAAGAAAATATTTTTCTATACCTGTTTTATCAAAGTTTCGACAGCTTTCTGAAGTATACGTACTAAAATTTATAATGTAAATTATCTGCTCTTATCATTGTGTTAGAATCTCTCTTCTTTGTAGCTACCTTGATTGTCTTAAATTTAAGATTATCTTTTTACCTATTTTTCTAAAAATTCTAGCTACGATAGATACTGTGCCGCATGTCTCTCGGGCAGGAGAAACATCTCAAACTCTTGCTGCCTATCTGTGCCAAGTTCTACATTAAGTATTTGTACTTTTTAATATCACATAAAGAATAATTTGATCCCAGTATTTTTGAAAGTCAACATTCTTTGACATGTCTTCTGAGAACCTTGATGTAATTTACATATTTTTATTCTAAATTTAGTCATTGTCGCAGCAGGTGCTTCTCTCTGTCTTGAATGAATATGGCAGTCTACCTTACTCAATTTGGACTTTGACTCTTGGATTGCGATAGGCGCGTAGCTATTTTCTCCTTGAGATATAGGACAGAACAAAGGTCATTACAGTGTCCCACTATTACGAAATACGAACTTCGCACTATTACAGTCTATTACCATATATAGTAATTATTTTAGAAGTTTGTTTATAACCATTTATGTTGAAAGATAACCTTACAAGACAGTATTTGTTTACTTGACTTAATTTATCACTTTCTGTTTTGAGGGTTACTCGGTGCTATTGTTATTAATTGCCGTTTAACATAACAATATATACCAGAAATTCACTTACAGCTCTCACACTCCAACTTGAAAATTAACTCTAATAAAATATAAAATATGATATTACAAGGAATTTTAATATATAAATACAATGTTCATGTCTAGAAAGCAGCACTAAAAACCTTTTCATGAAAATATTTGTAAAAGAAACTTGCATGTGTCTCATTTCTGTAAGTATCGTGGTACTATTGGTCACATTTTTGTTAAATTATGAATAAATTTGAAATAATATTATTAACATATGAGTGTAACTGAGGTTAAATTCGTAAATCAATGGTGAAGATACAAGCCTATATTTGCCAGTGGATTTGATTTAAACTTTCATGCTCTAACTAATTACTTGTGGTGCCAACAGATTTTTCCAATTCATATGTACAGTAATATTGATACGAGATTTGTTAGAAGTATGACCAATTACAAAGATTAGAATTTATGACATGAAGTAATAAAAGAGTAAGCATAGGTTATTGTTTAATCAAGCACATCAACCTGGGCCAATTCGAATTCAAATTGTGTGCTCAAAGAGCAACAACAAAATAAGTTACTGTTCGTCATTGCCGTTAATAGATTTATGGCTGGTAATGACCAATCGAATTATTTATCTTAAAAATGAGAGAGATAACTTACAATCTAAGTAAATAATTGATAAAGAATATATACATAAACCATTTCAAATGGGTTACAAAATAGGCTAGACTTTTATCATTTGAAGTGGTGGGTTTCAGATATTAAACTGATCCAAGACCATACTCTATACAAAAAAGAATATTTTGATAAAAGTACACCAATCTATTGATGAATAATTTTGGTACATTTTGAATTCTTTTAAAGACTTCAATAGAGTAGATTACGTAATTAAAACAGTCAACAATACATCAAGACCATACAACTGAAAATGAAAATGGTATCATGGTTCTTGGTGACAGCTTTATGTTTGTTGTTTGCTGGTGGTCATATAGTTTCATCAGAAACAACTACTGTTGAAGACTTTATGACAACAGATTCAGAACTCCACACTACAAATTCAGTTAATGTGATCAATCCACTGTTGAATTTAGGAAACATATTTCAGCTTCTAACATCTATGTTTGATGGTAGTAACAACGGTTCGACTGTGGATCTGGGACGAATATTTCAACAACTAATACCTATGTTAAATGGGGCTAATAACGATTCAACCACTAATTTTGGAGGCTTATTTCAACAGCTGATGCCCTTGTTTAATGGTAATGGCGGAACTTCCGGAATCTCAAATCTGATTAATATTTTATCAAGTCAGATCATTGGAAATCTTGATAAATGTTCTCAAGATGGTGCGGAACTACTGAAAGATCTTACAACATTTAAAATGTGGGCATTACAGAGTAAGTTAGCAAATAAATTAATATATACTTTCAATTGGAAACCATGCATTTTCTGAAGAACTTTTGATTTCTTCTATAAGCCTTATGAAAAATTTGTTCATTATATTTCAGTGATAGATGCTAGTGGAAAACCATCTAGAAATTTATTACAAGGAAACAATATATGGTTTGGTAGTTATGATGATTGTTTAAAAATACATCATACAGTTCCTGATAATACTGGACATGTTATAGATGGGGCTTACGCTAGAATAAATATCAAGTTACCTCCTAATGTTACTGCAATGTTTAAAGCGGGAATAGGGGTAATTATGTATTTTTATGATTCACGATAGTATATTCCGTTTTGTTGACTTAGATTAAAAAGGAACGGAAATGTTAAAAGCGTAGGCTGTCAAAATATTTCAATTTTTTCAATTATAGGTCTTGGGCGGATTATCTGTAGGCATAAGATGGGATCTTTGTGTTCCTAAATCATGTTCCAGTGACCAAATTAAATCTATGTTAAATATCAGTAAGTGTACATTCCTCATCTAATATAAAGGTCTCCTCAACGTCTTAAAAAGACAAAGAAAGCTTTCACTACACACCTTATTTCGAAATGTGAAAACAGAGCCTCTAACATGTTGTTACTCCCAGTTTCACACTATGCGACCAGATAATTTCAACCTGCGTTAATTTGGTATTTTACAGGACAACTAAGATCCTTGGGTTTGACAGTGGCATCCGTTGATTTCGTTGGTCCGAAATCTCTTGAAGGTGATACAGCAGCTTACGTTTCTATGTGAGTACTCGTAATTAGCTTTAAATAAGATTGTCATTCTATTGGCATTGATTAGTACATAGCCATGTAAGTAAGTTGTAAGTCGATAGCCCCGTCACACCGGATTGCAACCATCGCGTCCTACGATGATAAAAATATACAAGATCGTCGGCAAACGTGTCTATAACAAGTGATTCGGCGATAATTGGTGACCACCGCACGATGCCAAGTGCTTTGTACACGCTTCATACGACACTTATGAGGACTTGAACACGCTCTGAGCCAATTTATGTTGCCCTTATAGCAGTAAGGACGCGTGGGTATAACCGATATATCCAAAATGAACAATATAATAAGCTATCGACTACCATTTCATATACCCAGTCGCAGAATAGCGTTGGGGGTTCCTTCAATGTACATGCCCTACCTTGCTAACGTCATCAGCCACTATTTATTTCATTCATTTCTCTATTAACTGCAGAGCAATTCTAGGTTGTTTTGTATTGTTGTGTATAATTGGTACAATATGGGATGTCATACAAGACAGATATACCATAATATCCAAGGCTTCAGAATATTCTCATGACAACGGTGGCTCTAAGCAAAATGGTGTCATTTTGAATGAAATTACGATTACCAGCGACAAAGCTCAATTTTGTAACGGTGGTGAATCGAACGAAAAACAAGGATTAGATAACCCTTCGTTTACAACAGATGACCAATCTCAATCGAATGGAATATCAATACCAAATGGTACATCACAATCAAATGGTATATCACAACCAAATGGTACATCACAATCAAATGGTATATCACAATTAAATGGTATATCGGAATCGAATTGTATAGCAAACGCCGAAGAAAAATCTGCATCAAATCCAAAACCACAAAAATCAAGTACGTATTGAAATTTGAAACTGTTATTGATTATTAAATCCTCAGACCATTCCACCGAGTTTTGTATCTATATTTCTTTTGATCAGATAATAACCATGCTAATGACATTGTCTTAAATCTTTATGAATTAGTCAGCATAGATATTTCTATTACGTAACTGTAATGTGTTTTTCAGCCTTATCAAGAATATTTCTGGCTTTCTCTGTTCGTGAAAATGGTAGAAAATTATTAAACTGTTCTACACCTCCTGGTTCTCTTGGTTGTTTAAATGGTATACGTGTATTAAGTATGGCCTGGGTTATCCTTGGTCATTTTATTCTTATTCTTATCAATCAGATTGGTGAGTATTAGCTTAAAACGACTATTAATACATACATGTAGTTACCATCAATAAGAAGTAGTTCAACCGAATAAATATTTTTGACATTTTACAATCAATATTGAAATATTAAAACAGCCTAAAATAACGATGTATTTATTTCCAAACCAATAGTATAATGTAGGGTTAACCTTATTTAGAATACTTTCTCTTTTATTTACACAGAAAATAAAAAAGACATATGGACCATGTCCAAGACGTTCTGGTTTCAAGTTATTCTTAATGGTACGCTCTCGGTTGATTCATTCTTCTTTTTGAGGTTAGTAAATCTTCTTGGAATATATATTTTAAGAACATTAAGTTTTACTTAATGATTGATATTTAACAGAAAATATTCTTATATTTCAGTGGTCTGCTTGTATCATATCTTTTTATAAGAGAAGTACAGAAAATTGGAAAAGTCTCCATAAAACAAATGGGCTTATTTTACTTTCATCGATATTGGAGGTGAGATTCAAGATATCTGTCATTTGACTTCAGTAAGGGAGGGCTTGTCCTGTAACAAATGTAGACCTAGTTGAGGCATAATTGATTCAGAAATCGGAAGGAGCTATTTGGTTTTCACGATTGGCTGAATGGTTTTCCTTTGTTGATAATTAGATGATCCGTAAATAATAATTCCCTTGGACTAATATACCTATGTACCAATGAATCTGAGTAAGACAGCAAGATAGTCCATGCTACTTATCTTTTTAGATTAACACCACTATACATGATAGTAATAATGATATACACAAACCTTACAGAGTATTTTAATGAGGGACCTATGGAGACTCCAATTACACAAGGCGCCACCGAAAACTGTGTACATAATTGGTGGACAAATTTATTGTACATAAATAACCTGTATAAGTCAGGACAAAATGAAATGGTTAGAATAATACAAGAATTTATACTTGTCATAGATTGCTTACATAATATGTGTCTGTAAAAACAGGAATGAATCTAGGAAAGGCTTGTGGCTAAGAGATCTACTCTCAATTCTACTTTAATTCATTTTGTGCTTTCAGTTTTGATAATCACAATTTTAATATGGTTTCTTGGTGTGCTTCAATATTTTCATTTTTTCAGTGTATGTCATGGAGTTGGTATTTAGCCAATGATATGCAATTCTATATAGTTAGTCCTTTGGCTATTGTTCCTCTAGCTCTTGGGTAAGGTTTTCTTTATTTAACATCCATCGTTTCTCTAAATAAAGGATATTCAGTTCTAATAAAGAATCAATTTAACACACAAGAGACAAAGGCACGTTCCATTTATAACTGTAGTGGGGTAAAGGGAACGTTTTTTGTTAAAATAATGTACACAACGCAGTGATCTGGATTGCCTTAAAGTGATAATCCATTGTAAACTTTCAGATATCGTGTTATTGGGTTGTTGGTTATATTTGGTATGGTTGCTGGGCAAATTGTAGCTGGTGGTTATGTTGGGTGGGATATCGGTGATCCCGGTCTGTTTACGTAAGTTATCAATTATTCACTTGTGTTAATCAACAGTGCCAATCAATGAGCTGACAGCGGCCAAATTTTAACGAAAATCTTTTGACAGGAGTAAAATAGGTAAGGCACTGTAGGCGTTATTAGAGGCAATCAGTTTGAAGGGGTCTGGATTCAAATTTCACTATCTCAAACATTTTGATTTATTTTTCAGCACCAATGCTGGACGATTTTTTGATGAATTGTATATAAAACCATATGTAAGAATGGGGGTGTATGCTATTGGCTTATTATTGGGTTATATCATTAACAGAACTAAAGGCAAACTGCATATTCCTGGGGTACGTCATTCTTTGATTTGTCAAATTAGTTATTATTGCTGTTGTCTATGATGTATGTATGGAAATGTATGAGATAAGAAATGCAGCTGTGCAAACTTAAAAAAGAAATAAGTTGGAGCAAATTAAGTTGTTAATTCGACAAAATCACTGCCACGCACCAACAACGAGATTCCCATCTCTTTCTGTTATACAAAATTAATATAAATTACATAATTACATATAATGTTAGAAATATCCACACTAGCTTCGGATATATCGTTTATATTCTAGATAGTATTGTTTTTGGGAACACTAGTAGCAGTAACTGCAGGTGTATTAGTAAACTACCTGACATATGATCAGTTTATTGGAGATCATACACCTTGGGAATCTGATTCTAATATCGCCTTCCAAACATTATTTAGACCGGTCTGGGCCCTAGCACTGTTCTGGCTAGTATTTGTTTGTGTACATGGATATGGCGGTAAGTGTTTCCACTCGTGTTTTTTTGCCACATTCTCTATTCTTGACCTCCATGTCGACCTGCATAGATAATTAGTCCCCGCAGGATGAACATATTTCTCATACAGTCCTTCAATATCGTCGACCTCCATAGATTTACAGATCATCCAGTATCACTGTTTCTGAAAAATGTATATTCTCCACATTATACCGTGTTACTGTCTCTGAAGAGATAAACCTATTTCACATGTACGGTCCTTCAACATCGTCTACCATCAAGCCAAGCAACATAAAGGATCACTCATTTAAATGTCTCCGATGGATCTGACTGCAAAGTAGGTGTGTATATTAGGCATTCTAATTAACGGCTACTATACATTTCAGGTTTTGTGAATACAATATTATCATGGGAAGCCTGGATACCACTTTCTAGATTAACATATGCAGCTTATTTAATTCATTTGATTGTAATGACATCATTTAGTGAAAATATGAGAGGATATGGATATCTGACAGGGTTTTATATAGTAAGTAATAATTTTCTTATCTGATGTTTTAAACGCGTGTGGCACATAGACAGGCAGTAATGGCATGGTGGTACTTATCAACTTATTCATTTAAGTAAAAAGGTTTTTTTAGAGAATCGGTTTATAATACGCCCAGAAGATTTGATTGACATTTGACTGTACATCCCTATTTTGTACCTAAACGTATTCATCACCATTTCATATATTTCAGATGAACAACTATATTGGTATATTTGCTATAACTTATGCTGCTAGTTTTATTATCTCGGTAGTAGTTGAAGCACCATTCTTAGCTCTAGAGAAGGTGATGTTTAAACGATGATTGGATATATGATGGAATCTTGTACCTAGAATAAATGAATTTCTTCAAATAGCATCATCTGTGATATGATCATTTCTTATCAATAAACTATGTTTCTTTGTAATAAAACTTTTGATATTTGGATGGTGTATTGATAGTTGATCTTTATGCTGTACTTGGTGCTCGGATCAGAACTGAAATCTGTTGCATAAATTCAGGCTTCACTTGCAAGCCACGTCCTGAGGAACCTGAAATACACGACCTTCCCTTAAATAAATCATGGCTTTGGTTCACAACCAGGAGCCTTTCAGCTTGAAATCGTTTCTACTGACCTCATTGTGAGAAAGTTCGTCCTAATATATATCGTTGTAGTTTTCAAAAGAAACATATTCTCGGATAAAAAAAAAACTTGCATAAAGCTATATCCCCTTCCAGACTAATAGATTCATCAACAATTGATAACTTATTTTGTGCATCAGCCTTTTTTATGAAAACATTTGACCCCGGTTCACCCCAGTTCACTATATGAATCCACCAGCCCCTGAAGCAGAATTAAGTCTCATGAAGTGCGAGTACAAACGGCGATGCGTAAGAGTTGCAGCTTTCGAAAGAACAGTATCCCTTGAACAGAAGTTGTTGAGGCAGGGGTTTCAATTGAAATAGCAAAACTGTCCGAGGGATAAATGATGTATGTACTGCGATTAGAAATCAAGACGTGCAAATTTAATTCAACCAATCGTGTGCTCCAAAAGCAACAACAAAATACGTTACTGTTTTTTACTTATCATAGAAATGAGATATATAAACTAATAATCTATGTAAATAATTGATAAAGTATCAGCTAGACCCTTTAATCAGTTGAAGTGGCGTTTTTTTCTTTCAGTAAATTTTAAAAACGTAAACACTACATCAAGCCCATACAACTGAAAATGAATGGTTCTATGTGATGATGTTTGTTGTTTGCTGGGGGTCATATAGTTTCATCAGAAACAACTACTGCTGAAGACATTGTGACAACAGATTCAGAACTCCACACTACAGCGTCAGCAAATGGGGCTAATAAAGATTCAGCCAGGAATTTTGGGGGCTTATTTCAACAGCTGATATCCTTGTTTAGTGATAATGGCGGAACTTCCGGTATCTCAAATCTGATTATGGTATCAAGATCTAATGCTGCAGTAGCCTATTTTTGTCGCACAGATCAGATATGAAATCTGTTGTATAACTCTAGGAGCATAAATCATAAAGCTGTCACTCCCTTATATAGTTCATCTGCCGATACCTACATCACCTTACTATGTATACAAATTGTGACGATGGATAACGCCTGCGTGAGAACCTTGTCGTTTTGTGTTGTAATTTCGACTTACCATACAATATTCTATTCCATTACAGCTTTTAACTCTTAGAATTTTACAACCAAAATTCTCTATAACGCTTGATTTGAACTAGCCAAACCCATAAGTTAATCACATTTGTGTAATCGCGATGGCAACATGTAAAAAAAAACCACAGCTTTCTCAATTTGTATGTACTTTTAACAAAGATGATTAGTCTATATATAATCGTAAATCAATATGAGTTTCTTATAACAAATTGTTTACAAATTGTCTAAAGTACACCAAGGTTTGGCCCGAGACTTTGATTCAGTATATTGTAAATCGTAACATGTCCAAAATGATCCATATTCGCAATATTGGTCGACTTTTTGAAGAGTCAGTGAAGTTTTACTTATTTCGGGACGGAGTTGGATAGATTAATTTGTTTGTAAATCGTTCCGAACCAGCCAGTTTTTTTATTACATGAGCCAAGGAATTCCAATATGACAGTTCATGTACAGCGTATTCTTCTTCTTCTTAAACATCTTTATTTTACATAGATAACAGCAGATTCTCAAAATCATCTTTACCGTCATAGCTTACACTAGCAACTAATCTTTTGATCCACTGAATTGGACGGATTTTCGTTAGAATGAAACTTTTGACTGCTTAAGTATCAGCTAGACCCTTTAATCAGTTGAAGTGGCGTTTTTTTCTTTCAGTGAATTTTAAAAACGTAAACACTACATCAAGCCCATACAACTGAAAATGAATGGTTCTATGTGATGATGTTTGTTGTTTGCTGGGGGTCATATAGTTTCATCAGAAACAACTACTGCTGAAGACATTGTGACAACAGATTCAGAACTCCACACTACAGCGTCAGCAAATGGGGCTAATAAAGATTCAGCCAGGAATTTTGGGGGCTGATATCCTTGTTTAGTGATAATGGCGGAACTTCCGGTATCTCAAATCTGATTATGGTATCAAGATCTAATGCTGCAGTAGCCTATTTTTGTCGCACAGATCAGATATGAAATCTGTTGTATAACTCTAGGAGCATAAATCATAAAGCTGTCACTCCCTTATATAGTTCATCTGCCGATACCTACATCACCTTACTATGTATACAAATTGTGACGATGGATAACGCCTGCGTGAGAACCTTGTCGTTTTGTGTTGTAATTTCGACTTACCATACAATATTCTATTCCATTACAGCTTTTAACTCTTAGAATTTTACAACCAAAATTCTCTATAACGCTTGATTTGAACTAGCCAAACCCATAAGTTAATCACATTTGTGTAATCGCGATGGCAACATGTCAAAAAAAAACCACAGCTTTCTCAATTTGTATGTACTTTTAACAAAGATGATTAGTCTATATATAATCGTAAATCAATATGAGTTTCTTATAACAAATTGTTTACAAATTGTCTAAAGTACACCAAGGTTTGGCCCGAGACTTTGATTCAGTATATTGTAAATCGTAACATGTCCAAAATGATCCATATTCGCAATATTGGTCGACTTTTTGAAGAGTCAGTGAAGTTTTACTTATTTCGGGACGGAGTTGGATAGATTAATTTGTTTGTAAATCGTTCCGAACCAGCCAGTTTTTTTATTACATGAGCCAAGGAATTCCAATATGACAGTTCATGTACAGCGTATTCTTCTTCTTCTTAAACATCTTTATTTTACATAGATAACAGCAGATTCTCAAAATCATCTTTACCGTCATAGCTTACACTAGCAACTAATCTTTTGATCCACTGAATTGGACGGATTTTCGTTAGAATGAAACTTTTGACTGCTTAAGTATCAGCTAGACCCTTTAATCAGTTGAAGTGGCGTTTTTTTCTTTCAGTGAATTTTAAAAACGTAAACACTACATCAAGCCCATACAACTGAAAATGAATGGTTCTATGTGATGATGTTTGTTGTTTGCTGGGGGTCATATAGTTTCATCAGAAACAACTACTGCTGAAGACATTGTGACAACAGATTCAGAACTCCACACTACAGCGTCAGCAAATGGGGCTAATAAAGATTCAGCCAGGAATTTTGGGGGCTGATATCCTTGTTTAGTGATAATGGCGGAACTTCCGGTATCTCAAATCTGATTATGGTATCAAGATCTAATGCTGCAGTAGCCTATTTTTGTCGCACAGATCAGATATGAAATCTGTTGTATAACTCTAGGAGCATAAATCATAAAGCTGTCACTCCCTTATATAGTTCATCTGCCGATACCTACATCACCTTACTATGTATACAAATTGTGACGATGGATAACGCCTGCGTGAGAACCTTGTCGTTTTGTGTTGTAATTTCGACTTACCATACAATATTCTATTCCATTACAGCTTTTAACTCTTAGAATTTTACAACCAAAATTCTCTATAACGCTTGATTTGAACTAGCCAAACCCATAAGTTAATCACATTTGTGTAATCGGGATGGCAACATGTAAAAAAAAACCACAACTTTCTCAATTTGTATGTACTTTTAACAAAGATGATTAGTCTATATATAATCATAAATCAATATGAGTTTCTTATAACAAATTGTTTACAAATTGTCTAAAGTACACCAAGGTTTGGCCCGAGACTTTGATTCAGTATATTGTAAATCGTAACATGTCCAAAATGATCCATATTCGCAATATTGGTCGACTTTTTGAAGAGTCAGTGAAGTTTTACTTAGTTTTACGGAGTTGGATAGATTAATTTGTTTGTAAATCGTTCCGAACCAGCCAGTTTTTTTATTACATGAGCCAAGGAATTCCAATATGACAGTTCATGTACAGCGTATTCTTCTTCTTCTTAAACATCTTTATTTTACATAGATAACAGCAGATTCTCAAAATCATCTTTACCGTCATAGCTTACACTAGCAACTAATCTTTTGATCCACTGAGTTGGACGGATTTTCGTTAGAATGAAACTTTTGACTGCTTCACCGCAACGTTCCCTCCAAATTGAAAATCTATGTTTGAAAATATACTATATAGACATTTGGGGATATGTTGATTTGTAAATGTAAAACTGAGTAGCAGACAAGCGACCCCTCACTATAGCAGAATGCTTAATTAATCACATCGGCATTTTTCAATCTTGTAAAAATTACCCATGTTTATGCTTCTGTGTCTAACCATGAGATTTAAACACATATGGCAGCATCTACACAACTAATGATCGTCACTTTCTATTTCGAATTTATGACTAATTCGATATGATTAGTAGAGTATCAAACCATGTATGATCTATGTAAACAACTGATATGCTATATATCTAAAGATCAGAAATAAGTTATCAGTTTAAATTTAAAAAGTATATGTTATTGACGTCTTATCCTACCAATACAGAAACAGTTTTAATTTGTACCGAGAGGACGCAGTGGAGCTCTTATTGAAAAAACATAGGATCCGAAGCGAGGAAGAAAACCAAGTAAAAATGGTATCCTGGAACTATTTGGTGGCTTTATGTCTCTTGATTGCCGGCAGCCAGCTGGTTATTTCAGAAACAACTAAAGCCACAGAAGTTGCGTCTTCAGCTTCACAACAAAACACACAGCCATCCGATAGGTCACAAATTGATCTTGGAAACATATTTCAACTTTTGCTACCTTTATTAAATGGTGCTAATAACGATTCAGCTATAGACGTCATGGGATTACTTCAACAACTGACACCCTTGTTAAGTGGTAATGGTGGTATTTCCGGTATATCTGATCTACTGAATATGATACCAAGTCAGCTTCTTGGTGATAAATGTGCTAAAGATGGTCTGGAACTACTGAAAGACTTAACATCTTTTAAGATGTGGGCATTACAAAGTAAGTAAAGGTTTTAATGAAAATAAACTTTTACCCTTCTTATGAAAAGTACATTCCGAAACACGAGTAACCTTCCAATTCAAATCTCTGTTTCTAGATAAAGTTATCAAATATACGAGTTTATCTACCCATCGAATTGTGTACATGTCAAATAAACGTAGCGGTCCGAAGTCATAAGACAACAATAAGTGATAAAACTTCGACAAAACATGAAACTTAATATCTTCTAATGTCAATGTAACTATTACATTTCAGTGATAGATGCTAGTGGAAAACCATCTAGAAATTTATTACAAGGAAACAATATATGGTTTGGTAGTTATGATGATTGTTTAAAAATACATCATACAGTTCCTGATAATACTGGACATGTTATAGATGGGGCCTATGCCCAAATAAATCTTCAGTTACCTCCTAATATAACTGCAATTTTCAATTCTGGCTTAGGGGTAAATATTATTTATAATAATACACTAATATAAAGGTTGTTGTACCTGATGAATTTCTTCCTGGGTCAAATTTGAATCCCTTTTCTTTTTAATTTGTACAATTATAGAGACTAAATGATAAGCGAAAAATAAATCACAACCTTCAACTATTTTCATCATTAGATATATATATATACCATTTACTTATAGTTTTATTTTCTAAAATATTTCATATGATTCAATTATAGATGTTTGGTGGTCAAGCTCTTGGTATACGATGGGATCTTTGTATTCCCAAATCATGTTCCGGTGATCAAATTAAATCCATGTTAAATATCAGTAAGTATTTTTTGTTGTTAATAGTTTAATTATAATAGAAACATCTTTTTCATATGCACAGGAAATTTAGAATCAATATCAATTTTTTACAGCACAGTTAAGATCTCTGGGTTTGACAGTGGCATCTGTTGATTTCGCTGGTCCGAAATCCCTTGAAGGTGATACAGCAGCTTACGTTTCTATGTAAGTTTTATAATTTCTTAATTGCGAAAATTGATATACAGTATGTTTAGATTTAGTTGCAATTAGAGGACTTGTTAGATATATAGAAATTTACACATTAATGTGGTCGTAAATAGCCGTCGCCTCTGTCTGTCAGTCCATAATTGTTGTGGACACGATAGAGAGATGGTTTCTTGGATTTTGGCGAAACTTGGTGCGAGTGTTTGTAATCACCCTAGGATGAACTTGCACTTGTTCTTGAAAACGCTTTCAAATTTTGATTGAAAATATATTGTGGTCACAATAGAGATCTGGTTTCTTGATGGATTTTGATAAAATTCGATGTCACTGTTTGTTTTTACCCAAGGCTGAACCCTATTGAAAATCAGACAAATTGATAAATACTTTATATGAGTTAGTGCACTGGTTCTTGAAAACTCGTCTAAGTTTGAACTCGAGAAAGGTCTTGAAGGCACAATTTAGGCACAGATTTAGACGAAATGTGGTGAAATTGTTAATTATTTCCCAATGATGTACATTATAGATATTAGAAGCAAAGGAATTTAATGAGTTACTGTCCTTGTTCTTGAAATCACATTCAAGGCACAATTCTCAACAGATTTTAAAGAAACTAGGTTGAATATTGAAAAGCAGTTCTTATTATAATTAAAAATGTGTTCAATCTTTAGCTTTTGGATTGATTTAAACGAAATTTGTTGAAAATCCAAAAAAAGAAGTCTTTGAATAAAGCTGGTGCGGTATGAATATATTACTATATGAAATATTTCATTTAATGATGGCTACTGTCAACCGCCCGAGTGACTTTATAATTATTATGGTGGGGGTGGTACGATCGCTGTCTTCTTTAGATTTTATCCATCTGATTTATAGAAAGTCATATTTATAAATAACATTATGACAAATCTTGATGCTATTGGGTCAGATTTTTAAAGAACATTATGACAAATCTTGATGCTATTGGGTCAGATTTATAAAGAACATTATGACAAATCATGATGCTATTGGGTCAGATTTATAAAGAACATTATGACAAATCATGATGCTATTGGGTCAGATTTATAAAGAACATTATGACAAATCTTGATGCTATTGGGTCAGATTTATAAAGAACATCATCGCAAATCTTGATGCTTTTAGGTCAGATTTATAAAGAACATTATGACAAATCTTGATGCTATTAGGTCAGATTTATAAAGAACATCATGGCAAATCTTGATGCTATTGGGTCAGATTTATAAAGAACATCATGACAAATCTTGATGCTATTGGGTCAGATTTATAAAGAACATCATGACAAATCTTGATGCTATTGGGTCAGATTTCACAGAATTAAAGTGTGTAGTTACATGCAGAAAAACACGAACAAATCATAATTGCAGGAGCAACGGACGTTTGACTGAAAATGGTGCAAATTGATGCTATATGTGTTTAGAAAAGCTCTTTACAATCCCTTTAACAAATGTATCAAAGTAAAGCGTGGAGGAGTAATGACATTCCTGTTATTACATTCTATCTGTTTATATCTCAAGGGTTCCTCTTGAAAACCAATTTAATATTTCTAATTTTGTTTTCTGCTTTGAATTATTAAATACCAGTTGTTTGTTTTTTCCACACAACAATCACTATTTTAAACAAAGACGTTTTCATCTACTTTCAGAGCAATTCTGGGTTGTTTTGTATTGTTATGTATTATTGGTACAATATGGGATGTTGTACAAGATAGATATACCATTTCAAAAAAAACGTCTGGACATCAGGTTCAAAATACCTGTAAACAAAATGGCGTCAATGGCGTTCATTTAAAAGAAGTAACTATTTTAAATGACAAAACACAATTTTGTAACGGCGGTGAATCAAACGTAAAACAAGGATTAGATAACCCATCGTTTACGCCAGTTGACCAATCTCAATCGAATGGTACATCTCAAACGAATGGAATATCACAACCAAATGGTATCTCAAAATCAAGTGAAAATTCCCAGCCAAAAAGTACTTGTAATGGAGTTGGTGAAAAGACTAACTCAAAGTCCGTCCCAGAAAAATCTTGTATGTATTTGCAAAACATCGAACAATTCTGTATTATTTTTAACTACTTTTATATTTAAGTCATGCATCTTGTGTTTGTAGTTACGGGACTTTATACACCAAAAATATATCAAGCTAGATCAAATATTTCATTCGGTGATTTTTCTGTTCATGTATATTGTTATTTTCAGCCTTATCTAGAATATTTTTGGCTTTTTCTGTTCGTGAAAATGGTAGAAAATTATTAAACTGTTCTTCACCTCCTGGTTCCCTTGGTTGTTTAAATGGTATACGTGTATTAAGTATGGCCTGGGTTATTCTTGGACACTATATGTCATTTTGTGTGAGGGTAATAGGTATGTATTGTAATAACAATGAAATATTGTCTAATTTGCCCTGAAAAACATGCTCACAATTACTATATAAGTAATATTTACTGATCTCTGCTACAAATACGATAATATGAAAAATTGTATGTTAGCGTTGATACTAAAGATAAATTTTATATTTATTAAAGTTATTAATCAAAGAACTGGAAATAGAACCCCTAGATAAAAAAAAACATAAGATGGTAGATCTACCTGATTTATCAACAAGTATTAACGAACCATGTTAGTTTATTATACTTTCAAAATTCATAAATATGAATTTCCTTCGTTTGGTTCTTTTTTACAGAAAATAAAACAGATATGATTAATATGTCCAAGACGTTTTGGTTTCAAGTTATTCTTAATGGTACACTCTCAGTTGACACTTTCTTTTTCCTAAGGTTGGTATAGGTAGTATTATAAACACATTGGGATAATATTATCAAAAAGCATCATACTGTGAGGTTACAGGAGAGATGGGCATTTTTTCAATCCATAGAAGTTGAAATGTATGTAGGATTAGTCTGCTCATTGTTCACCTCTGTTCTGAGAGATTTAATCTTGGATATCATCCTCTTATTATATTTTTAAATATTTGACAGTGGTCTGCTTGTATCGTATCTATTTATAAGAGAAGTGAAGAAAACTAGAAAAATCTCAGCAAAGCAAATGGGATTGTTCTACTTTCATCGATTTTGGAGGTAAGGCGAAATACATTCTTCACATAACGTAAACACTGTCAAAAACAATCTTAACACGACATAGTCCATATTGTTGATGGAATATGCATTTGCATATTTTATGTTACAGCATAACGACCTGTGGTTTTTTTAAAAATTGTTTGAGCCTCCTGGCGCTCAGAAACAAGTAACCTTCATGCTTATTCCCATTAGTCCCGTTCATTCAGAGATGTGTTAATTCGAAAAGTAATGCTTACCCTCCCATTGGACACCATTCTTTGTCATTCATTTCTATCGTGAATTGACCAAGGTGGATATTACAATAATTTCATATCTATCTCATTGCCTATCGACTAGATATACATGTATGTCATTTTTCAGAGACATAAATTGAATAAATTTCAGATTAACGCCACTCTATATGATAGTGATAATGATATATACAAACATTGCCAAGTATTTTAATGAAGGACCTTTAGAAGTTCCAGCTCTTGAAGAAATGGCAAGAGACAGCTGTAGAAAGTATTGGTGGACAAACTTATTATACATCAATAACCTTTACAAATCTGGACAAAATGAGATGGTAAGACTTCTCAGTATGTGTAGAGTACAATACAAGAATACGATACAGATCAGAATGACAATCTTTTGAATTAGATTCTCACGGCGTATGTTCGACCTTTACTTGGAGATGTAAAAAGTACGTAATGATATCGTTTATTTATATGCACGTTATTTTATTTTACAGTGTATGGCATGGAGTTGGTATCTGGCTAATGATATGCAGTTCTATGTACTCAGTCCATTAGCTATTGTCCCCCTGGCTCTCGGGTAAGTTATTCATTAATATCTTTTATGGCCAAAATGATATTGTTAGGATGATTATGAAAGCTGTAATTCGCCAATTGAATGAACAGCTGAAAACTGAAGTGTCTTTGTTTTATATTTCTTTGATTAAGGTAGATTATAGTTTATACTTATATTAGCTCATGCATGAATTTTTTCAGCTATCGTGTTATTGGATTGTTGGTTATAATGTGTATGGTTGCTTCTCAGATTATATCTACTGGTTATATTGGGTGGGATATTGGAGATCCTTCTCTTTTTTCGTAAGTAAACAATGTTGGTTCTTTAAAAGTTCTACTAATATGGCTGTTGCTTGACACGAAGACAAGTGTTCAATATATGATCGGACGATCTGACCTCAAGAAATGCGGAATTCAAATATTTATTGTTACAGACCAAACGCTGGGAGATTTTTCACTGAGTTGTATGTTAAACCATATGTAAGAATCGGAGTTTACGCTATTGGTTTGTTACTGGGATATGTTATAAATAAAATCAAAGGCAAGCAGCATATTCCGAAGGTAAGCCATTTATAGCAATAACTTAAAAATCGCCGTGGTTGATGTTTTTGAAATATGATAAGATGAGGATTTACTATTGGTAATATTGCTTTAATTACACTATTACAACTGGAGACTAGTATAGTAACTACATAACCTATTCTCAGACTGGTCATATATTAATATATTATAGGTAGTATTGTTATATTAATATATTATAGGTAGTATTGTTATATTAATATATTATATTTCGGGGAAGGGAGGGTTTGATTGTATGTTAAACCATATGTAAGAATCGGAGTTTACGCTATTGGTTTGTTACTGGGATATGTTATAAATAAAATCAAAGGCAAGCAGCATATTCCGAAGGTAAGCCATTTATAGCAATAACTTAAAAATCGCCGTGGTTGATGTTTTTGAAATATGATAAGATGAGGATTTACTATTGGTAATATTGCTTTAATTACACTATTACAACTGGAGACTAGTATAGTAACTACATAACCTATTCTCAGACTGGTCATATATTAATATATTATAGGTAGTATTGTTATATTAATATATTATAGGTAATATTGTTATATTAATATATTATAAGTAGTATTGTTATATTAATATATTATAGTTTGTATTGTTATATTAATATATTATAGTTCGTATTGTTATATTAATATATTATAGGTAGTATTGTTATATTAATATATTATAGGTAGTATTGTTATATTAATATATTATAGGTAGTATGGTTATATTAATATATTATAGGTAGTATTGTTATATTAATATATTATATTTCGGGGAAGGGAGGGTTTGATTCTCCCAAATGTACAGGCCTAGGGTGGAGCAGACACTTTATTTAGAAATTAGGATTAAGGGTCTTGATATTGCGTTTTCTTCTGTTCTTATTCTGATCTGAAATTAGAAAAAATAACTCGCCCGATGGGCGAGAAGTATAGTATCTGTTATGAACTGATTAGTTTACTATGAACAATATTATCATTTAAGTTCTTATTTTTTGAATATGCAACTATCATTTTCTGCTTATAGACATGGGGGAATTTCTCTTGAAGGCTCTTATAGTGGGCATGAACTATCTTGCTTGCTCGATTGCTGGTTGTATAAAC